CCAGTAGTAATGATGATAACTAATACCTGATAAAAACTAAATAAAAGAGTTGAGCGAAGAACTATTATTATAATTAAAATTTTATTGTCATGCCTGAACCTGCTGCATCTTCAACTGATGTAACTCAAGCAAAATCTCCAGCTATTTTATTTATAAATTCAAATAAAGGCAAACCTTTACTGATAGCAGATGGATATGTTTTCAAATTTGTTTTAATCATAGAGTACAAGTTAATCAGCGAAATATTTTGTCATTCATAAAATTTCTACAAGGAGAAGAAAATTGTTTTCACCATATACGTGTTCAATTTAATGCAGATTTAGGAGCAAGACCAAAATAATAGCTATTCAATGTCGTATAGATAATCTTGGTGAACGATATTATAATCATGCTATAAATGCTATGAAATGCTTAGATGGTTTATCATTTACAGTTGCTAAGCGAAAAAAATGACACATGATCGTTTTTTTTTTCATTATCTGTATTTGATCACTGTTGGAATGTTAACACCAACGCATATAATAAAACATGTTCATTTCTATTTATAACTCTCTCTTAAACATTTGCTGACTATTTTTTATGTTGATATTATTTTTTGCGACATTTTTTTCCTTTGTTTCTTCGTCATTTTTACGACCAACCGAAAATATTGCTTGCTTGACAATGTCAAAATTAATTAGAACATGTGATGATTTTATATGAAAAACATATTTACTTGGTAAAATCAACAAGAAAAAAATAGTTGAATATTATTTGAGAAAAAATTCCCATAAAAGCAACCCAAAAAGCATAGCTTTACTGTAAAAATAAAACCATTACACGTCAGCAAGAAAAAATACGCAATTCAAATAAACAGATGTCAAGGGAAAAAAAACCTTCCCTAGACACACTTGTTATTGATGTATCTCTATGCGGTTAATATCTGATTTTTGGTTACGGTTGACAGATTTTTCTCTCATATATGTCGTATGATAAAAAAAATCGTATATAAATAAATGTAATAGCATCATTTTTTATTCATCGACCAAAACAGAAAAATATTCCTCGGTATTCTACCTATTTAGTAATACATTAAACATGTGGGGTGGTGGTTTCAATCCTTATATGAATTCAGAAAGGAGATCTGATATGTGGATTCAACAAAATATTCCCGGTGGATTAAATAGTAAGAATCTTAAATTATTATCGATAATGTTATTAAAATATGATTTATTTTCAATTTCTTTTTCGCTGTCTCAATCGCAATGAAGACAAATATACACACGAAGTATATAGGAAAGAAAACGATTAGCAGATCCCAAAAGACAGAGTGTTCAGACAGCCGAATCACCAGTTTTTTAGCACTTAGAATACACGAAACGATAGAGAAAAGAATTTTTAAAATAAAGACAACGTCTCTGAGTTTTCTACGATTTTTTTTTTGCTGACATAAAACAATTTTTCAAAAGTCTATGAAAATGTTTTTCTACCATTTGAGACTTTCACAATCAAATTGTTGGGCGTCAGTAGAAAAAGAGTTATACAGAACTCGAAAACTTCTTGTTTTGTAGGAAATTATTTGCTTTAAATAAAATTTAATTTGTATTTTCTAATTGCCGAAAATTGACTGTTCGATTTTCTCATAGTCCTAACATTCAGAATCTAATAATCATTTTATTTCTATATATTCTTAAAGTATATGTTTTTCTCTGTTCGAATCATTATTTAGATTGTTGTTTTTTTGCGATTTTGATAGACAAAATAATTCAAAATAAACGTTGTTGAATAATTTCGGTAACCATTGCATATATAAACATTTATAATTGGTTCGTTTATATTTTTCAAAGTATTGTCTTGATAAAGATTGTGTCATTTTCTATAAAAAACTTATAATAAAACGAATATTCCTTAATTATTTCTTTGCATATAGGTCCCATGGGTGAATATCTTGATAATAGAATGGGTGGAAATCCAAATCCAACATGGGGTCAAGTTTATGGAGGTTATCCTGGTGTTGGCGGTTATGGTGGTGGATATGGTTATTCATACAGAGGATGGTAATATAATTACCCAAATCGAACTATTTTTTTTTTCTAAATGTAAAATATTAATCAAGCAATTAGCCATAGACATTTTTCTCTCATAATAAACATGCTCTCCATCAAAATTAATGTTTGTTCAAATCAGACTTGTGATTTGAAAGAATACTATTTCGATTATAAAAATAGATTTTGAATAAGAATAAATCGTTTGAAAGATTACTTTTGCAATAGAGAAAATCTTATTGAATTTTTTATGACGATGTAAACTAGAATCATGACATGAAAATCTACAATCAGATATATCTCTCAACTAATTCAACATATTTTTGATTGCAATAAACTGTAAAATCATTTGTTTATGCTGAACATTATTCTTGCAATTAACCGATAAAAAAGGAAAATAAATTTCAAGAAGGAAATATGTACTAAATCAACGAAAAAAAAGTAAATTTTGATATGTCTCAGATTCGAAAGAAGTTGGCATCGACATCATGTTACAATAATTTTAGTCTATCGTGATAAATGCTCTGAACAATTACCTCAAGACATGATAGTCAAACTTTAATAAGCGAATCAGTGATCAAAAGTCGTGTATATGTACTAAAAACTTATTCTAGTTCAAAATGTTTTAGACACGATTAATAGATCTATAACGAAAATACTTTTCAGAAGATAGGTGTATTTGAACACATTTAAACAATTTTCCCCAATCGCTAGTGCAAACGCCATTTCTTATAAAATCACGTTTGAACTCATTTATTTTGCGTTTACTATTTACATGGGTTGTTGTGTAACGTGATACGAAAATTGTCGACAAAATGGTTTTATTGCGTTAGTAGATGGAAGCAAGAGAATTATTTATAAAAAAGAAAAATTTTAAGAATATACATGACTAAAGTAAAGATTTTTTTATCATCAGAAAAAAAAAACTGATTAAATACACTTTTTATGATATTAATATAATTTCTGGTTGATAGTAAACTGAAAGTTCTGACCATTGTTGTCGATGAAAAATGAATACTTCAACGTATCATCTCAGAATGAACAGAATTATTTTTTGCTCTATGATATATTAATACAACATGTTTCTAAGAAAACCTAAATTCAGTTATGAATTTGTCTCGTCTTTAATACATTATATTTAGCATATAATACTTGACATGGTCAACAGTGTCCTATCAATATATTGTCTTCGTTTAAAAAATGATATGAAAAACAAGAGACACTGATAGCAAGTGATTGATTACTTCTATTGTAGAGGAGAATCTCGATGAATATTCATTTAAGATCAACAAAAACAAGAAAGAAAAAATACACATGAAGAACTCATTCATATCGTCCTTTCATCGATGTAAATATGGAATTGACTTGCACTTTCGCATACAATATCACAAAAGAGTAGTTTTATAGATGAAAAAGTCACTTTCTCAATCAAATTTTAATAGGATAAGAAATATTTACATTGTCTCATTTACTTAGTGATCTTCTCTCTGGGAGCTCGGCAATATTCCTATAATTAGCAAAATTCTTCCTATTCTATTCGAAATAATCGATTTCTAAACACCCTGGAAAAAACATTTCTGGCATTTCACAAGTAATTCATCTTGAGTTTTCTTCATCTAAAAGAGTACTTTTAAATAGAAAAATACGAAGTGTTTCTGCCATTGTAAGCATTCCCAATCCAGAAATAGAGATAACATAAGGAATGATATCCATAATCCAAAGATGTTTTTCTTCACTTGTTTTGCATTAGTATAATTTTCAAAAGGTTTCTTCGACTACTATCAGGTTTCTGTGGTCTATATTTCTATTTGTTTTCATTATTTCTTCTTCGTCATTGTATACCATTTATGAATCATGATGAATTTTGTATTTTAATATGCTTTATTTGTTAAACATTGCAAGCTAAAACTTTTCGGTTACGGTAACTCTCTTTTCAGAAGATACAAGTTTCTTTTATAAGATTTTCCTCAAAAATTTTGATGATGATGAATTCAATAGATTTAATAAAATTCGACATTTGCATTGTTGACAATCTCTTTTGACTTAAAACGAATCTTTTTTTTTGTAACACTTTGTCTAATTATCATACATAGATTGTAATAACAACTTAATGCTATACTCATGGTGTTTGTGTTGGTTGCTATTATCTTTTATAGTCGAGAAACTTAATGTATAGTAGACAATTGTATTTGACCGCTCTCTGACTTTTCAAGAATTTAAACCTATGAAATTATCAATTCGTTCTCGTGCCATGTTTAAAACTACATAGTACTTCTTTCACAGCAATGTAATATAAAAATTGACACAGAATAAATTGAATGGCAAGCAGTATAAACTGGTGTTGATACTATAGATATTCTTAGTAGTGCATGCTTAATAATGTTCACTTCCAATATTATTGGCATTGTTCGATCGACATTTTCCAGAGACGCTCATATTAATTCTGAATTTGTTGAATCAACTAGTATTTCAGTAATATCATAGGATGTAACTAATCCTGATTTATCTGACAGAAGTGCATATCTGGCATTTTACCACACAATTCCTTCGGATGATGTTTCTGCATCGGCAATTGTACAATTATTCATTCAATTTAATTGAACATCTTGTATAACTATCTATTAATATGATAAATTAGAATTCAGTGACGCTGAAGCAATAAGTCATGCATTTAGTAACAACAAATTCATAGTCAGTCAAACAGTAGTATTTCAGGTAACTTCACAGATCTTTTATTTAACAATTCAACATGAATTGTAATAATACCGCTGGTTTTAAAATTTGTGCTTGATTGCAATGTTCTTGGACCACAATTCACATGAATATTACAATCAAGTATTTCATGAGAATTTTATAATTAAACCTCATATCCAAATTTAATCGAAATACTTTCTACAGAACCTGTAGTAGGATATGTTGTCAGTGCATCAATTAATACATCATTATTCAATACAGCCTATAGAATTTGGTAGCAATATGAGCCTAAAACATTTTTCTGGTATGATGAAGACCAATCATTATGCACTATCTGCATTCAATGCAACTTGGGCATTAATTCAACTATTAGTAAGTGTAGGTCTATATGTGTTAAGTATAGTATTATCAACAGTATTCACGGCTAATTTAATATCTGATTTAACAATATTAAAATCAAAAGGTTTTATTTCTGGAATTAATGATATCAAAAATGAAAAAGTACCTTTTAGTCGTATCATCGCGTCGAAATAATCATTTAATTCAAAAACAGGTTTTTGAGCTAAAACATTGAATCAAAATTTTTCGAAACATACGTATGCACAATACTCAAACAGCTTTGTATGATATAGCAAATTTTAAAATACAAAATTATTTTTATTTGAATGAATTGTAAAACATTGTTCATTTCTAAAGATCTTTCTTCTTTAATAATCAATCAAAAGATAAAAATGTTTTAACATAATTTATGTTGTTCATAATTCGAGATACAACTAAAAGGTTGACTATTTTGTTTCTTTCTACTCTTATCCAATAATCGAAAATTAATTTTGAACGAATAACTAGATATTAGTACAAAAAAAAATTCAGTTATCACTAAGTATTCCATTTACAGCCATTGATCTTATTGATGGAACAACTATTCAAGCCTTTGTACGAAAATGATAAATAAAATGATGAAATCTTATTAAAACTTAATATAAAAATCAAATTTATTGCACGATAATTCAGATGTATGATTTTTTCATATTATACTCTTCTAGAGTTTTTGAATATAATCTTGAAAATCATTCATAGATTAGTAATTCATATTGGCATTGGTATTCAATAAGAATAGAGTCATGTTCGATCGATCTTTTTTTAATTGTCTTCTTTTAACCATGTTTCAAATGATAAAGAAGCAAGAACATGTATTTCATAGAAAAGAAGTAATGAGATTTGTCTATTCGAACATTCACATGTATTTTTTTTCTACGCATTGAACATTTGGGAGGATTTGCTAACACTGAAAGAAATAGATGACAACCTATTACTGATAATTTCATTCAACAAAAATATCTCCGTTGGATAAAATAATAAGTCATTATTATATTTTAAAATAAAAATAATTTTATTGTTGAAATTTGATGTAATTTCATACGAATGAAAAAAAAACAGACTTGTAATGCTATTCCGATAATTCAAAATTTACCTACAAGACTCCAACTAAATCGAACAAAAAACATGAAATCAATAGACAAATTAATCATACACTTCTTGGAGGCAAAAATGGTTTTTGAAACTTATTAAACTTTTGGTATGTCAATGATTAATTTCTAAAGATCAAAAAGAAAAACTCTTGATTTTGTTTTTTTTTTTTGTTCAACGCACTCATTCTGTTTTTATGTGCCACTTTTATCACTTGATGCAATGCAAAATATCCCTGATTTACGTTCATTACCAATCAAAAGAACGATAATTAATCAAATTTCAGAAAATAAATGAAACGCTATTTCAATAACCATCACCAACAGTATAATCAACTGAAAGTATTCATTTACTACGTAAAGAATAATTCTAGTTCAAACGATACAATCAACTAGAAATAGTAGAACACATGTTCGAATCTATGTCACAGCGATTTATATTTAAGCTGATAATTCTTTTCATTAGATCATTGAACGTTTTGTTGAATGATTTATTTTCTGTATATGTTCAGCTAAAAATACAAAAAATCGCAATATAAAAGAAAAAGTCTGAACTAATCGTACTACGAGTTGTTGTTCAATAAATTCGTAAGTTTCCGAGGTTCACACAATAATTTTTATCATTTATTTTAGATTCTTTTCTTTCACCATCCAGTAGTATAAATAATAATAAAAATACTGAAACACCAATATCAAAGGATCTCGATATTGTTCGAACAACTTCATCAAAACCTTCACAAGAACAAAATTGTCTTCATCAACAAATATCATTTCAAGGACGTCATCAATGGCATCGTATATATTTTCATGAAATATCGAAACATGTTGATAAACAATATCTTGCAGCATATGATTTCAAGTAATTATTGATGATTATACACATAAATTAAATGCTGAACGTTTTTTGTTTGTGTAATTTAACTAATATTGAACGTACAATGAAAATAGATAAAGCACGTTATATTGGTCCTAGAGTTAAATTATTTCATATACATAGAAATGCATTTGCTGAATATCTATAGACTAATCTTGTTTTTGTTCAAAGTCTAATAGCAAATAAAAGATTTTCATGGTATTTGGTAACTGTTTGTAGAATTTCATCAAATAAATTTATAATATTAAGCTTGTTTCAAAATCATATCATCATGCAATGAATGATATAAGCTAAATAATACTGTTACAATTGATCAGATTAAATGTCAACAATGTGCAGCTAAAATTCCATTTTATACATTCATTTGAAGACTTATCACGTCATTCGTTTTACTACTGTCAACTATTCGCATATATTTCATTTAGTGTAACGTGAATTTTAGTATTGATGAATAGCGCTATAATTCGGACTAGAGATATACGACACCAGAAAAATCTTCACCGGGACCGGGACCGAAAAGAACACTATCCGAACTGAAAATAGATTACGATACTATGGTGCCTTTAACTCTGTCAGTATTCAAGTGAAGCTTTTTTTTGTACATCATAAATCAATCGATTATTATCATACTAATATCTTGCAACACAAAAGCAAAATGCATCATAATTAGAGATGTGCGTAACCAGTTCCAACCTAGATTTCGATCTTGGTCACCGGAATCAGTACCAGGGCTAGGACCTCGCGAAAACTGCCGGAAGCGAAACTCAATTTTAAAGTAAAATGTTGTATGATTTTAATCAAATTATTCTTGAAAATCGTATGAGTCAGATGTGATACGAATAAATTCTGAAATAGTTTTCTTTAGGCCGCGACTGAGATTCAAAAAAAAGTCCCGTACATCTCTAGTC